TGGCCACTGTAAGAAGCTGAAGAGGGTTTGGGGTGGGGGAATGGGAAATAATCTCAGGAGGGAGGTACAGGAGGTTGGAAAGGGGCAGATTGAGGAGAGAGGAGATCAGCAAACGGGGAAAGCACTTAGGAAAAGAGTCAGAGGAAGCTGAAAGGGATGGGAAGGAGTGTGGTGAAATAACCCAGAGCTGAAAGGAGTTGGGGAGGGGGGAATATGTCATCCTAGGACCATGTTTGCTGACGTGCTGCTCTCACCTCTTTTAATCAGGGGGCAGACCCACCCACTACATCCTTCCTCCGGTCCCATGTGCTTGCAGATGTACAGCACACGGCACCGCGCCCTTGCAAACATCCTTGCAAACACCACATGCACAAATCTCGATCTGACACTGCCAGGAACTGACGTGCGTCCGTGCTCCTTGTCCCCACGGACTCCCATACCCACCAGCGGCACAGCTCACCTGGCCCACGGCACCATCTTGCTCGCCAGCTTGCGGCTGGAGCCCCTCCTGTGGCAAACCAGAAGCGCACAGACTTCTAGAGAGAAACAGCAGAGAAAATCCATGGCAGAGGCTCAGATGATACCATGCTCCCTGGGATGGGAATGCTGGAAACTCAGCTTTGATGTCGGGATAAAGACAGCCCTCTTGTCACCCCAGAACCCTGACTGCTGCCCAGAAGAAGGACTCGCCAGCCGTATAGCACGGATTTTGACCTCATATTTGGAGCAGCCAAGTTCCTGCTGGCAGCAGCAAGTGAGCTGGCCAAGGCAGGCTTATCTCCTGGCAGACAAGGTACCCAAAGGCACAGTAGCAACATGGGACTCTCCCTGGGTATATCAATTGAGTCAAGACCTACAACCACATTCAGGCAAGACTGATGAGTTTTCAGCTGTTGCCTGTTGCTCTTTGGACCTGTCTCTCATTGGGGTACATCTATGGCCAACGAGCCAGTGCACTAAAAACAACCCATCAGCCCCATCATTACCACCACAGGCTGTACCGTCTGGTTGTTTGGCAGCGTTTCAGAGGCCCAGATGGGTCGGTTCAGGCTGGGTTTCCCCAGGTAAACGTCCCACATTGCCGAGTAGGAGGACAAGAGCTTCAGGAGGGCCTGAGGGTTCAGGTAGTTGTCGTCATCCAAATGGCAAAACCAGCTGAGGGGGAGATGGGAAAGAAGACACGAGAGGTTTGCAGTAAGGATGGTGCCTCTTGCTCTCAGGGGTCAACCCCAAGGCAGCCCTGCCTCACCTCTGGCTGCTGGCCAGGAAGGCGTCGAACTCAGCAGCCATTTTGCAGGAGAGGGCCAGGTGGCTGTGCTCAGCAGAGCAGTTGGTGAAGATGGCATGGTCGCCTGTCAAGAGAGAGAAGGCTGTAGCTTGGGGTTGGCCTGCTTCATGTAGTCATGGGGAGAACCTCTGGGTGGGAGGGAAGAGGTTTGCTCACAGCCAGCCTTCTCGCGGGCCCCCCCAACAGGCATCCAAGCCCACTGTAACATGGGCTCCATCCTTCCCCCTGCCAGGCAATGAAACCTGGAGAAAGCCAAGCGTCCTGGCCAAGACTAAGCCACATGCCAACCACACTTCCACCCTGCCCACTGCCAGCTAGGGCGCAGGGGCTGAAGGGCTGTCTCTTGGGCTGCGTGTGCCATGTGGCTTCCTCCCATGGATGCTTTAAGGCAGACAGCACCCTGCCTCGAATCAGCTGTGTGCCCTGGGGTAACTCAACTGAAACAAATCATCACCTGGGGTCTTTGTATGTGCCAGACCCCCTCCCGAGGCAGTGACAAGTCAGGGGCTGAAGGTATGGAGGAGAAGGTGGTCTTATAGGACAGGTCATTACCCATTCTCCTTTTCAGGGCATCGTCTTCTTCATCAGTGAAGACATAGGTCTGGGGAAACGAGAAAAGGAGGTTACTCTCAGGGCTAGAGCTAACCCTGCTCCCGGCCACCCACCCCTTCCTCCCCACAGCCGGACTCCCTCCCCGTGGTCACCCTGCTCCATCCCCTGCTGCCATGTCCCTCTCCCAAGCACCTAGGTGACCAGAGGAACAGCCGCGCTCCCTCTTCCCGCACACACTATCGTCAGCACTTATGTTACTTCATTTCTCCCTGCTACTGCCCTGCAAACAGGGAGAAGGGGACCCATGACACCGAGTGAGGGGGTGAGGGAGCCCGGGCTCAAGTGTCAGTGGCAGAAAAATGAAAGCACCATGGTTGAATGATGCTCAGGTTCAAAGGAAAACATCTGTTTGTGTATTAAGTGTGCACAGCCCCCTGCCACTTCCCACCTCCTCCTCCTCCTCTTCCTCCACCCCCAGGCCTCCCTAATCCCCCTCGCTGCCATTGTGTGGCACATCTCCCCCTCTTCAGGGCCAGGCGGGAATCAGGGCTGGTGGAGAAAAGCTTTCCTCAGGCAGAAAATGAGCTTTCACAAAACCAAAAAGGAGTCGCGAGCCGTAAACAGTCTCTCCACCAGCTGCCCACAGGCTGGTTAAACGAAGGACCTGGGCAGAGACAAAGGGGACGAGGCAGGCAGACAACAGCTCCAGGAGCCACCATTCCTCCAAAGGCTCTGACAAGGAGAGTCGAGTCTCTACTTCTCCCCATGCCCACCCAGCGTTTGGGAGACATGCCCCGCCACCATGTCAGGAGGATGTGGCAAGAGAAATGTTCTGCCCCCGAAAGGAAGGCAATGAGGAACCCTCAGAGGACACCTGGCTTGAGCAGAGGCAGTAAGATGGCTTCATCATCTCAAACGTATGGGCTACAGAGACTGGGCCAATTATCCTCCCAGTTGAGCTGCAGCGATGGGTCATGCACGCATTCCTATCCCACTCCATGCATAAAGTCTCCTAGTTAAAACCACTTTCAAGGTGATCACGGGACAAGAAGCAATTAGCTGAGTCTCAGTAAAAGAGTTGCTCTAGGTCAGGGGACCATATCACAACCTTCGGGCAAGGCAGGGATTGTCAGTGGCACGGGATTTCCCTCGCCAGCGTGTCAGAGCCAGAAATTTCCACTATGACAAATATTTCATCTTAAGAAAAAGAATTCTGAAACCTTCAAAACTTTCTGATCTTTTAAAAAAAAAAAAGAAACAGAAACGTTGCTGGAAATTACTTGTTTACAGATATAAATCCAACTCTAGAAATCACATGTCTAACAAACATTGTATCTGATTGACTGAAAATAAGAATTTGCACCTTTTCCCCAAGGTTCCCACTTTCTTCTTGATGCAAGGTGGGAAATGTTTTTTTGCAGACATCCAAAATGTTTCTGTGGGAACCCAAGGATGAAGGAATGCTGTCTCCACAGGGAAAACCAGATTGTCCAAAATAACTAGAAAGAGGGAGCTATGAGTGTGGGGTCTAGGCAAATCTGATTTCTCTGGCTCTCCCAAACTCTGATCTCCATGACACACATCACTGCAGTACTCCAGAGATGCTGGAGTATGTGCCCTGACTGTCCAGAAGGAGGTCACAATAGCACAGGCAGTTGCCTGCATCTTTTTCTCCCCATTCCTCACACCCCTGAGAGTGGGCAACCTGGAACAGCAGCTGCTGTCAGCATCCAAGTGACCGCTGCCATGTGTCCCTCAGCAAAGCCACACATGATGGCTGAGACGGCAGAGAGAGAGAGAAGGGCCCCAACTGAAAACCTGCCTGGAGACCATTTCACCCAGTTACACGTCTTTTTCAAGGAGGCACCAGCTACTGTTGTCCATACTAATGGAGTCTCAGAGTGATTCAGAAGGTCTCTCTGGCCATGCTAGATCTGTTCTCCCTGCTGGGGACATGCAAGTAGAAGAACACCTGGTGTCACTTGTGTCCCTGCAGGCAAATACAGTAAACAGAAACAGCTCCCCCATCATATCCACCCTCCTGTTCTCCATCAGACCATTTATGGGGCCATGCAGGATCTCCCATCTTGGTGCCTCAGCATATTGAGATTGGGCCAGGACAGCTGTCAATGCTACTGCGAGGCAGCTGATCCGGGCCTGACGAGGGATGCAGCATGAAAGCATCTCTCCATTGCGGAGCAGAGAAGATGGCTGAGTGGAGAAGGATGTCTGCTGGACGGCAGTGCAAGTAGTGATATGGAGCCACTGGCATCAAGCAGCTTTGCTGGGCATCTCTCCATAAACATAAGAGCCCATGCAATGGATAAACACTAGACTTTGAAACCTCCTCACCCCAAATCAGGAAAGTGACCTAGCAAGGATAAACTTGGAAAAGGGAACAAAGATGTGGAATCTGGCAATCCAGAGCCATGTTCATTTCCCAGGCTCTCGAGGTATCCCTTCTCCAGAAAAAAATCTCTTCCAAAATGCAAACACATCAGCAGGGTTATTGTTATGTCCTGCCTGGAGAACAGATTCAAAATCTACAGTGTGTTCACAACACTGAAAATGTGAAAGCCGGTTCAGGATGAGTTATTCAAAGGTTTCATTTCAATCAGTTGGATGTCTGGGTTTCTAAAATGATGGGAGGTGCCAGGATTAGTTTACGTTACCAAATGAAATGCCATTTCAGATGAGAAACCTAGACTTATCTCCATCAAAACTACTGGGGAAAGAGAGTAAGCTGCTCCAAGATGCTGTCCAGCCTAAACAACCATCGAAAATGACATTTCTGTTTAGATGAAACCTTTTCTGAGGAAAAAGCCTTTTGCTGAAATGACTTCCACATCAAGCTCCAGTAGAAAGTTTGTCCTGGATCAGTTTTCAAGAGGCAGAGCATGGTCCAGCGAAGAGTGCCCACCTCGCGCTTCCCCTTCCCCATCTCCCACCAGCTGCACGTCTTCTCTTCTGTTCAAACAGTGCAGTTGCTCAGAAAATCTCCCTCTCTCTTACCCCAACAGAGTCCAACACCGAGGACTTTTAATTTGGCTTCTGTACGCTCTGTCCTAGCCATAAAAACCACAGCTGTTCCTGCCTCCTGTCACAGCCTGACCTGTGAGGTCTGGGTTGCTTCCTCTGGGAGGATACCATGCAGGTAATCAGCTCTGAAACCAGGCTTGGCATCAGCAGCATGGCCAGCTGATAAAATTTCCCCGCTGGCCACTCACAGAGAAGGACTCACTGAATTGGTGTCCAGCCATGAGTAAGGGGGAGTGAGACAGCAAGACGGTGGGTCAGCCCTAGGAGGAGGCATATCAGGGCTTCTGAGACCTGGATCTCTCTGAGACTGGCTCTTAAAGCCTACGCCTCTCTATAAAGACTCAATAATAGGAGGTCTGGTGCTTTATCCCTGGCCCCACAACAATTAAACGTCTTTTGCAAATCGAGAGCTCGCTTTAAAAATCCCTCCAGCAGCAGTATACAAGACGGTGGGTCAGCCCTAGGAGGAGGCATATCAGGGCTTCTGAGACCTGGATCTCTCTGAGACTGGCTCTTAAAGCCTACGCCTCTCTATAAAGACTCAATAATAGGAGGTCTGGTGCTTTATCCCTGGCCCCACAACAATTAAACGTCTTTTGCAAATCGAGAGCTCGCTTTAAAAATCCCTCCAGCAGCAGTATATTAGGAACAAAAACATGGAAAACTAGGGGGGGGGTGGGGGGGTGGGGAGGAAAACTCTGAGCTTGTGACAAAAATTGATAACAACAAAAAACCACTGTTTTCAAATGACTGGTGCTCCTGTTCAACCCTTCCTTCCTATTTCCCTGCTCAGTCTGTGAAGCTTTTCCTAAAGGCTGGCATCAACACCTCTTCCCAGGTTTGGATATCGTTTGCCTGCCAAACAGAGAGGGCCAGATGAGTCTGGGAAGCTAGTATCTAATTCCTGTCACCAGCAGAATGGCCAGGCACCTAATTCTCAAACACACGAGGAGGGAAAGGTGAGCTGCTCCATAAAGAACCACTCCGAAAGCCCCAGTCACCATATCTTAATGCCAGGACAGCCATGGGGTTGGGTTCGGCTTCTCCAAAGAGCTGCCAGGCTGAGGTCAGGCGGGGAGGAGAAGTGCATCTGGAGGAGGAAGCAGGGCATCTCAGATGCACAGACAGGAGAGGAAGCATGCCCAAAATAGGACACGGCTTCCTGTGACGACCGCAGAAGACCAGACAGTTGCAGCACCATGAAGTGGAAAAACCACCCTTACCCAGCAAACCCTGCACTGCTTCAAGCGCTCTCCTACCCAATACCTCCGCCCTCGGCACCCCTCCTCACTGAGGCCTGAATTTGTCTTCTAGGCGCCTGTCACACACAGAGGCAAAAAAACCCCACCCTTCAGGAGCAGCCCCAGGATCTATTCTTTCTTGAGGAGCAGCTCTGCGAGGGAGGGAGAGAAGTCCCCAGGCTCTGGGGAGTGCTTCTGCCCACCAGTGAGCCAGTCTGCACAGCACCACCAACGTGGTGCCCCACATCGGTTCCTCTAACAGGAAGGAAACTCTCCAAACTCTGCTTTAGCAAAGGATGGAAACATCAGACCCTCGGTTAAAAAAAAAACAAAACACACACATTTAAAAAAGTCAAATATGCACCCACATCACTTCAAGATCATGCACGTGAGGGGATCTTCCCAAGAAAGCAAGGCATGGGTTGTGCTGAGAGGCTGGGGAGTGAACAGGGCTGCAAACACCCCTTCCTGCACTCCAGGAGGTCCTCCAGGTCCTCCTGCCTCGCTCTCCTGCCCGCTGCACCACACCGTCCCGGGGTGAAGGGTGCCCAGGTACAATGTGGGCATCCTGATGGAGAGCCAAGGGGAGCCACTCAGCCTGAAACCTAGCAAGCTCATGGCACTAGGAGGTAGAAAACCACCACTTCAGGACAGTCTGTGCTCTCAGTGTGGTGTGGCCCAGGCAATTTGCAGCCCCCAGTGTTGCTGGTTAAAAAAAGGAAATTAAATCCCTTCCACTTCAAGCTTAAAAAGTCAGGCTTAGGTTAGGGGCAGGTGATGTCTGCTAAGAGTACTCATCCTCCTAGCCTTCATGGGAAAAAGACACACAAGCTTTTCATCCTCTCTGCCAGCCTTTCCCAAGAAGCAGCTACCAGTGAAACATTTTGCTGGGCAGCATCCCCCTTTCAACGTGAACAGAAGTGAGAATTAGGGAAAATGAGGTAAAACACAGGTTAGGACTGCAGTGCTCAGCCTCCCCTTCCTTTAGCCTTTATCCCCCAACATTGACACCCTGTCCCTGCCCCATAACCAAACACCCCCTCTCTACCCCAAATCCACATGCTCACCTGCTCTCTTGCTTGGGATATCCATGTGTCTAAAAGCAGCTCCATCCTGCTCTGGTGAAATCTCTTGGTTGTCTTCACAGCTATGAAAATGTCCCCAAGGGTCAGGCTTCCCTTTGTCCTGTATCCCTCCAGAGAGTAGACTTGCAGTTCCTTCTGCCTCGTGCCACCACCTCCCGTGGCATCCTCTGGGTCCACTTTGCTCCATTGCTCCGGCTTTTCCAACATCTCCTCCCTGAGTCCTGGGTACTGAGTTGTTTCCCGAGTCCCACGGTGCCGCACAGAGAGGAGAGCCACACTGACAAGGAAGACTGTGGCTCCAGAGAGACCACGGATGAGCCGACGGCCCATGGCTCCCTAATTGGTCTCACCACAGCCAGTATTCTATTGAAAAAGGACAACCTCTGCCCGTACCTCCATGTGAAGCTGTCCACTCTTCTCGAAGCCTCCAAAGGAGCACAACCAGCCAAGAGCGAGGTCTGACTAGGATGCAGCCAAGGAATAGGGTGGGTGAAGACCAGAACACCAAAAAGACAGCAGCCCTGGAGGATACCACTGAAGCAAGCGGAATTTTCACAGTCTAAGAAGGCTCGACGACCCAGCGAGGCAGGGACACGTGATAGGAAAACACTCCGAGGTGACTGGCAGGTGGCCGGCACAGCCTGCCAGGAGTACAGCCAGCATCCCCACTCCCGGCGGAGAGGCCGAGGGTCCCAGGCTGGGGGTCGTGGGGGCAGCAAAGGAGATCAGTGCCATGGGTGGTGGGGAGCCTGGACCGAAAGCATCAGTTCCTCAGAAGGCACCAGCGCCCACATCCGCGCCGAGGGCTGCGGGGCGAAGGCGAGCGGCCGGCGCAAGGCTGCGGGGAAGGGGTCGGGTGCCGGACGTGCGGCGGGGGTCCCTCGCCACCTGCTCCCGCCGCGGACCCCG